TACTTTTTCTCAAATAATATGCGGTTAATTAACTTAATTGTGAAGAACTGGGGTTCGATACCCAGTGGCAACTTGAAGTCCACACACTTTCAATTTGATGGGTACCAGCTTGTCTGGGAAGTGAAGGTGGCCTACAAGCAGTGCTAACCAGATTGTCACAATCGGGAAAGTTGGTCTCTAATTTGTAGAGCCTTAACCTACATGTTCCTCTTGGAGCGCAACGGTCTACTGCCAAAATGAAATAATACTTTCATTCATTATTAATTTAACTTTTAATAATAAATATCGTAAAAGAGATGTTTCTTTCCTTTTTAAATAAAAAAATATAGATTCTTTCTGACTTAAAAAAAGAATTATTGTTTACAATTTAACTAAAGGTTTATGTACCACATTTACTTGTTAAATAATGTATACTATTATCTTCGTACGTTAATATAGCACTGATGGCATGCATTGGGAGATCCTCACATATTTCTTATCTTATAAACAAAACATTTTTCTATACCTTATTTGAAAAAACTAATCAAAAGGATTCATTAGAATTTATTATTAAAGGATTTATTAGTTAATTTCTCACTCGAAATTCACTATTGGGCAATTGGCTACAGTCTCCGATTTATCTCTAACGGGATATAAAAATCTAATTTAAAAATAAAATTAATTTCCTTAAAAATGCGATTTTATTGAAATATTTAGATAAAAGATTGCATATCAATTACATTTAAAATATCAGTTCAAAATATTTACAATAATTAATAATGGTTTATTGCTTTAAAATGTAAATAGTAAGGATAAAACTTATAAACTTAAAAGATGAAACTTATTGAAATTCTTAGTTGAAATAATTTCCTTTAAAAAACAGACATTAAGCAAAATTGATTTGAAAATTTTGCATATTTTATTCCAAACATAAGTTGGAATAAAATGGCAGACATAAATGACATGTAATTTATGCATTCATACGTATCCATCCATCTATTTCTTAAATGATAATACGCGAACGTGACTATAATGTGTTTCTATATTAATTTGAATTGACTTGGGCGAAAGTTTAGTGCATATTTGACAAAGATGATGCGTGACCTCCAATTTTGTTCACGGAAGGTTGATTTTATAGTGTTTGCCACAGGATATAAAACAAAGATATAAATTCAGTGTCACTAACGATCTCTTTTATGATTTTTATCACATGTTACTTTAAGTGTTAATACTTTTTCTTAAAAAAATAAAGGAATTCTCTTTGAAAGTTTTTGACACCATAAAAACAGAACTATTCGGAGTTTTTGTGAGGTGCTGTGAAACTTCTCTAAGTGCCTCGTTAAAAATGCTTCATTTAAAACTTAAAACCGTAATATATATATAATTCTCTCAGACAATTAAAAAAAAAGCATTAATTCATATAAAGATGAAGAGGAAACTTTGAACAGTGCGAATTATTCTCCTGGTCTTCATTAAATAAACATAAGTAATCTCCACCCTGTTTAAATTGTTATTAATTGTTTTTATAATGAAATTGTCATTTGCCCATGATATCTTTCATCAATTTTTATCATTGCTGTACACCAAGTGATTAGCTTATATTATTTAAAAAAAAGCATTGATTTTAAAGTTTGTAAAAGTGAGAAATATAATTGTTTATTATATTAGTTTATGATTCGTTCAATGATTTGAAAATATTGCAGGAAAATTACATCATATGCCCGAGCTCATGTCAGAAGACAATTATTTAAATTTAAATTATAAACAAATCAAAATTTCAGTTCTCAAGTCTAATTCTTACTTTTATTTACAATAACGTTAATAACAATGATGTTCTTAATAATTTGAGAGTAGATGATTCCAGTTTTTTTCTTAATTTCTTTGAAATTAGTTTTATTTATACAATTATAAACATTCAAAATAGAGATAATTTTCATTATTACAAAATAAAAATTACGATATTTTGAACTTAAGTAAATAAAACTACATTTTCTTAAAACTATTCTTTCACATTCGCTAAATATGATGGAAATTCTTCAGTACGAATTTGCAACTAGACAAATTAAATTTAGAACAAATATAAATATTGATATTAGTCAAACAAATAAGACATTTATTAGGTCAGTCAAAAAAATATCGGGCAATATTTATATCGAGATTTATTTTTTCATAATTAACTACAATATTATCTTGGCTGAATCTTAGTTGAAGTATTACATTCTTTCACTTATGATTAGCTGCGTCTATTAACTAAAATTATCCTTATTATTCAAAAACTAAGAACGTTATTTTGTTTCGAAAAAGTTTTGATACTCATTATTTGCAAGGTATTATTTCATTACATTAAATATCGAAACTCACGTAAATATATTTTGTTAGCTGTCTCTATTAATAAAGATATCCTTATGATTCAAAACTTAGAATATTATTTTGTTTCGAAAAATTATTGATATGAATAATTTGTAACGTACTACATAGTTTATCTATTTTGTTACTTTAAATAACTTGACTTACGTAAAATTATATTTGTTAGTTGCGTCTAGTAACTATAGAGACCCTTCATGATTAAAAATTCTAAGACGTCGTTTTATTTCAAAATTATATTATAAGGAAATACTTGTAACATACTACTTATCATTTTATTCATTAAATATCACTCTTTGTTCCGACCTATTTTAATGTATAACTATTTTTTATATTAATACTCGTATTAATGATATTAATTACGAGTATTAATATCATTAATCCTGCATGTAATGCAATCTTAGGGATCACTAAAAATGTTTTTCTAATAAATATGAACGAAAAATGTAACGCTACGAACCAATTTATAACCTATTTTCTTGCGGATAAATTTAATAAACGATACAAAACACGATCTCACCCGAAGTTACATTTTATGATTTTTAATATAGCTAAAAAAAAAAACAATTCCATATCAATACCTAATTCCACATTAACTCCAATTAATTACGTATAAAAGAACGCCAACGTAACCAAGTAACCATTGTCTTTATGCGATAAGTAAAACATTAAAATAAACTTTTTTCGTTTAGACATGTTGACATGATTCAAGATTTTTTAAGGTTATTTTAAGTATTTATCCTGCTTCAAAATTTTAATTTCGTTTGTTCAATTTGATTATGAATTTAAAAGTAAATTAAGTAATGAAACGCTGCATATTGCTTGAGAATAAACAAACTCCCTGGATATAAATTTTTATCTTGTAAAGGAAACTGAATATCCAGATCATTTATTAGATATAAAGCAATCTCAAGTTAATAGTTAAACAAATATTTTTCAATGAACAATCTGAAAAAGGAATGAAACGGAATAGAAAATAAGAATATACAAGTTTCTTATTCAAGAGTTCTCAATTACAAAAACAGGATAATCATTATGAGACTCCTTATTAGTCACATTTAAATAAAAGTTATTCTATATTATTATAAAGATCATAAGATTATTTTATTTCTTACTTAAATGATTTAAATAGGAGGCTAGTATTTTTTTTTATTGTTTCTTTTAGACCGAAACTTTTCATCTCAATTTTAATATCAAATCAATTTTACTTAAAACATTCTAAATAACACGAATTAAATTAGACAAAAGACAAGGAGATGGCATGGAGACAAGAAGAATAAGAAAAATATATCTAGCCTTGTAAAGAACGACTTTTGGGCTTAATGGGTCGCACAATTTATGGCCAAAGGCGCGCTGTTCTCACTTAATGAATTATTTTTTTAAGATGACAATGACATTTAATGATCTATCCAAATTGGAAAAACTTCGCATATCCTGAACACATTTGATATCTTAATCAAAGACATTTCAGAAGCATGATATTGTTAGTTGAAAACATAATCCTACCTCCATAGTTCCAGTTAAAAACAGAATATCCTAAATAGTATCCAAGAGTACTAGTAATCCAATAGATATCACTAATAAAATAACATGCAGAGAATTTATATATATTTTCATTTAACTCTTCGCTAGTTTTAAAAAGTGTTCATATTTTCACATGCTAAGAACTTCATTTTTATGAATCTCTCACCAGTGGGGTCCAAAAAAAGGGGATATGATAATGAGGTATTTCTGACGTCAACTATTTATTATCACCCGTCTCTTAATATAAGGGGGTTAAAATCCCTGGTGGTCATTTTCTCTGGAACCCTACTAAATCTGAATAGCCATACAGAGAAGGCCATAAAATGTGACACTGATGTCTTCCGTTTCACACTGTAACTGTGAACTGAGGAATACTGTAAGAGCAATAAAACTACCTGTTTACTTCAAAAAAGATATACGATTTTTATTTACTGTAACAAAACAGAATAGATTTAATTATTTTTTCTTATTTTTAAAAGACTTATTGTTTTATATGTAAAAGGCTTTTTCTTTTCTTTACACTCTTAGTTTGATAGTTTTTGCATTTTTTTATTTTTTTTTAAAGATAAATAACTATAAAACAAATATTAATGTAGGAATGCAAAGAAAACAACAGAGAAAATAGAAAGTTGAAGGCAAATAAAAACTTTGTTTTTTTTTCCCCTTAATATTTCTTCAATCTAAGAAAGAAGCAGTCAAAACTACCAGAATATGGTAAAATTTATCGTGTTTTTGACTCTATAGGAACACCCAAAAGCTCTGTAATTTTTACCAAAGCACTTTGATAATGATTTAAGTAAAAATAACAATAAAACAAAGTTTCATAACATGTGATAAAATTTCGTAAATGTAGTTAAACTCGGTAATTTTTTATTCGATAAAACTTACTTTTCAGTTTTGTATTTTAAACTAAATGTGTTGTAATAAGAACTATAATTTTGTAAACCAAAATTCACGGCAAACCCATTGAAATATGAACAGAAACCGCTAACATATGAATGGTTTAAATACCTTATTCAGAACAATTTGGTTTTATTAACCAAAATGCTTCATTTAAAAAAAAATGTTATTACCATAGAGGGCAGTAATTTTACCGATTTTTTTCTCTATGTTCTATTTGACAAATGATCGGGACTGATTAATGAAACAATTCAGATTATGGAAAAATTATTAAAGAAACAATTCAGGTTATAATAAGAACACGAATACAAATCGATTTTTCAAGCCAAGCTGCAGTTTTCAGGAAATTATGTTTTGCTTTTGATATTATCAGGATCATGATATTATATAATCAGGATGCAATCATCAGGATCAGGAAAAAACATCTTCTAAAAAAGAAAGAGAAAACAAAATTATAATTTACATTAAAAATTTCAAGAAATATATGTTATTAAAAAAAAATTAATAACATACAATAGCTAAGAAAGTGTTTGCTCAGACAGCATATCGGGAAATGTGAATGTTAAAGTAAGAAATTAATCAAATATTTTACTTTATTATAAACGAAGATTAAGTTAAACAAACGCAAAATATAAATCTTTAAAGTAAGATTTTTTTCTTTCGCAAAACTGTGTAGCCTTTCGATTATGTAAAGCCTTAAAACTGTTTTTCAATTTATGCAAAATTATCAAAAATAACAAAAGTTTAATTTGATACCGGTATTCTACGACTTGTGTATTCCGGTAAAAAGAAAAAACGGCGATAAGTTTGAAAAATAAACAGCATAATATTTGAAAATTAAACATGATACTCTTACACAATAATACCTGACGTTAAGACGTACGCAAACATTTTCGATATGATAATTTTCTATAAAATAAAAAAAATACTGTTTTAATTAGTTAATAAATATATTTTATTTTATTTTATGGTTTGTGGTTTGCATAATAGTATTTTATAAATCAAATCAAATTATTTTAACCGTAATCTAAATGTAGAATCAAACATTAAATCTTCTTGAAGAACAAAGCTCCGTCAATAGCAACATGATAATGTTCTTACATTTGTTCACTGATTCATTCTTTAAAAAATAATGACTGAACTCGTAAAAAATTACATATGAAACTTCATTCTGAATCTTAAGATTTTTTAATATTCATTTGTGCTGCCGTAACTGTTCGCTTACCTTGGAGGGAAACAAAAATGTTTAACGTAATAGATTTTTAATCTTTCTGACTTCAATTTTATATTCATTTCTCTAAACAAAGCAGATGATTAACGTATTGTTTATGAAATCAATTTCTTTATGTATTCTCAAATATTTTTGATATATATTCTCAAAAGCTTTTAAAGGACAAAAACATAGTGAAAAAAAGCTAAATGCAAAAATACTTTCCAAACAAAATTTTTAAAGCTTTTGATCAGTTTGTTAAACAATCACTGCTGCTACTTATTAGTGTATTCCAAAGAAAATATAACACATTTAAGTTTTTTTTAATTCTTAAAAGTGATAGTGTTTTTCTATTTTTCAAACGACAATATTCTTTTAATGTTGTTAAAATTAAAGGCCTTCTTTTAGCTCGGAACATCAGTATTACTATTGAACTATAATTTGTATTAAACCTATTTTTCATCTAAGGATTGTCAGCAAATATCCTTGCTCTTATTTTTTTCTATACAGTACTTTATTGACTGTTGCGTTCTTTTAAGTTAGATGTTATAATTATCCAATTTAATACAGAAAATACTCTTATTTTGATTTTAATTCTATTCAACTGTTGTTTGAAAATGACTAAACTGTGTAACTTAAATACAAAACTGCTGCATACAATTGTCCATACATTTTCAAATATAAAGCTGTTACACATGCATTTTTAAGTACGAAACTGCAGTTGTCGCGTAAAAATTTACATAAATTGATAAAATAGCAATTGCTTAAAAGAATTAGTGTGACTGTAATACTAAAAATGCTCTTGTTTTTCAAATGAAATATTTTTGCCATGAAACTATTAAGTTGATTCTTATGTGCATGAAACTGTGTATTGCCAATAAACCTACTCACAAAAAAAAAAAAAAGAGAACAGTGAATAAAAAATATGACTGCAAGTACAACAAAATGCAAGTACAAAAAAGCACAACACAAAAAACTTTTTTCACAGTGTACCCCGCTTAAAGTACAAAAAGTGGTGCAAAATAGGAGGGTAAATAAATAACATTCTCTTGCATTAACTACTACTTTTTCATTGAATCACTAAAATGCGTTTAAATATAAAAATATAAACTTGAATGATGTATATACTATTAACGTCACGGGTATATGTGATTTGATGAATAGATAATAATGCTTAAATATTTACGCTGTCACTTTTATTAGGTTATTTTTTTCATTTGTGGAAAATCGGATCGTTATCAGTGCGATGGCAGTAACAAAAATATGAATATTATTATAACTGTCGTTGAAAAGTCGATGCTATCTTTGAGTTTACGTCTACGAATGTTCAACTCCGTAGCCTTGTAATTTTGAATCCAGTTTGGAAGATAAGGGAACTCCAGGTTCAAATATTGGGAGAAATTTGCTTCGTGGAGGATATTTTGATGGAACTAACCCGCATTTGCCTTACAGGGAGAGGAAAACCACGAAAACCTCCTACGGTTAGCCCAACTACAAGGGGCATCTGGTACATGATCCATCTATCACTGAGGATACTTTACGTCAGCACTGTGGTCGGTGCAAGCCGGGTGCGGAATTCGTATCGACCAGCCTATCTGGGATTCGAACCAGCTTTCCTTCACTGGTGGGCAAACGCTCTCTCTTCTAAGTCACCTCTGCTCTAAAAGGGTTAATAGATTTTCGTTTAATGAAAGATGCTTTAAAATTATTCATCTTGCATTTAGTAGTTTGTAAATAGAAAACTGTTGTCTTGCAGTTTCGTCATAAAATTACGTACACTGCAAAATGTTTTTTTGTTTTTGTTTATTCTACCATTTTCGATTTAAATGAAATAAATTTTGAAATGCAGAACTTTAATTATAGTGTACAAAGTTGTATAAAATTGGCAAAATAACAATTGTTTGAAGGAATAGGGGTAAATATATTACTATAAATTTGTTTGTATTTTAAACGAAATGTTTTTCAATGAAGCCATGCTCATGATACTATATGAACATTTTTTCAACGAGATTATTATTTTTAAGTAATAAATTGAAACAAATTATTGTTCTTTTTGTTAATATTTGAACTTATTAGAACTTTTAACCCCTGGAAGAGTATCGTTATTTGAGACATTATTTATAATATTAGTATTACATATTATATAATTTCATTAAAATATATATGCTATTACAAGTTTATACAACTTAAAATTAAACTTCGTATACTAATAATATTTTTTAGAAAATTATCAAATCAGTCGAATTATTATTAAATAACCATAAATTCGGGTTCAAGGGCACAAATCGAATCGGTCGTTAAATTTACGTAATAGTGCTTTTAATTTACATAGTAGTTTATGTGCTTTTCTCAGGTGTTTCTTGCAAAGCTTTTTCTGTAGGAGATTTTTCTGGCACTTTTTTTTCGTGGTACTGAATCATATATTTTTCATGTATGATTAGCATAATATTAAAAAGCAATCAAAATACAGACAATCATGGTTAATTTTTTAGCCTCTTCAAAATATCAAATATATTATCTAAAATACAAGAAATTAATTATTAAGAAAAATTAAAATTTTTAGTAAATAAGTTGTATTGAATTGTGTAGTTTTTATTTTCCTTTTAATTAAAAAAAACCTTCATATTTTGTTAATGATGCATGCCAGATATTAAGTATAAACAATTTCTTAAAATGTCTGTATTCAAGAGAGTTAGAAAACAATTCGAAACCTTAACAGTATATGTATTTAAACATTATGAAATTTGCTTGATGTATTTATAAACCTATTGGTAATATTTCAAAAGCTCTCTTAACACCTTCCCCATATGGTCAACTCAGAAATAGGTTTAAGGTATCTTTTAATATTAATTTATCAATTCAGTGAAAGTCTAATAAATAGTAGTTAGACTAGCATTTTTTTTTTTTTTTTTTTTTTTTTTTTTTTTTGCATTCCTAGACAAATTTGAGCTGTTTCAGTTTTCCAGAAACAAGATAGACAGGTGATCAGGGGCATAATTTGACGAATAAAATTTTTTTCAATTCTCCAAGGAATGCTAAAGCTTTATATGAAAATATATGCTAACATTTTACGTGTATAGTACCTGAATGTGAGTTTTCTAACACTTTTACGTTATAATTAATGAAAGATAAAAAATTCTGAGATATTAAAAGGAAATGCAATTAAAAGAATGCATTAAAAGTCTTGTAATAACTAATTTTCTCTCTATAATTATCAAACTACTAACTATATTTCTAACAGTAGCTGTCAATAAAACAATTCAACATTATTTATTTAGCGGAGTTATAACAGACCAAATTAATAGCAAACAAATCTAAAAAATAACACAAACTCTTCTCAAAGTCAATAAACCTAATTATTTCATTAATGCAACATTATATATCTGTTTGATAATTCATAAAGATATGAGTCGATATTTATTAATTAATCAGCTTTCCTATTTGATATATATTTTTACTAACCATACGCGAAACAGCTTTAAATGAAAATAGATAATTCTCTGAACATTTATCAGTAAGTAAATAAATGCAACAAAATAACGTCTGACAGTTAACATTCATTAAAGGAAACTACAACATAATGACATTTACAGCACTTCCTACTCATAAAAATAGATTAAAAATATGCGAGAAGGACGGTCAAGGCTTGCATATAATTGAAGGTTCATTTATGTAAGCGTCTGTCTACTGCTGATTTAATTTCATTCATTGAATTCTGCTTTAATTGTAAAATGTTCAAGTTGAATTTAAACATATTCGTATGATTTAGGTCAAGCATTGCCTCTCCACCCTTTGACTTACACTAAACAGCATACATGATTAATTTATTATTATTGCATTTATTTACTTAACATCAATATATCTGATTATTATTATAATTTTTTCTTTGAATTAGGATAAAGAAAAAGTGAAAGTAATACTAAAGTTAGTTTTAATTCAAATCTGTAGCAATACTGTAATTAGTTATAATTCAAAAATTAGCGCAAAAATTAGTGTCATTATTAAAATTATAGCTCGATTATGATTTTTAGATCAGGTAGATATATTTAACTGTTTATTTAATTTTCTATATATAATAATTTTTATTATTATTTTGACTCTGTTATTATTGTTTACGGTTATATTTAGTTATAAATCAGTATCCATTTTACAATTTTTCCTTACAAGTATGTATAGTAATACACCTTTCGAAATACACCTTACATAAAAATAAAAAAAATTTAAAAAAATCTCGGAAAGTTGATATGGGTATGAAGCTTAACGATACAAATTTATATATAATATTTTACCCGTTTCTGGGTCATTTTAGTTTACCTTCACCAGTGGAATAAATGAAAGGAGTGGTAAAACGGAGATAATTTAATCCGACAGAGATTACGTCATTCAAAAGAAAATTAATGTTGAGTTAAAAGTAAAACCTGAAATTGACAAGTGTTAGAAACTTAAAAAATTCACTGCTCTTTTTTTTAAATTTTTTTTAATTTAAACCACATTGTTAATTCGTTCTGCTAGTTCTAAAACGAAATGAATTTTTATTTTGTATATTTCGATTAACATTGCTTACAACTCATTTGAATAATAATCAGGTATTTTTTTAAAAGTATTTACTGTCAATGCGCATTCCAAACACATATTTTAAGTACCATTTATGCACTATTGCTTTATATCAGTTTTCCCCATCCATTTCTTTAGCGAAAATGCTACTTAATTTCTCATTCATATTGTAACCCTACAACAGATAAAATGAATTAGCTTAGAAATAAATTTCTCGTGAGAGCTGCTGATGTTTATTAAAGTATAATGATTAAACAGTAAAACAAAACAAAAAAATCTGGATCTAATTATGGATAAAAGAACGGCACCCTGAGTGCCGATACTTTTCACCGTAAAACCTATTATTACCGGAACATGTTACGGTTGAATTTTTTACGTATTTTTCTCAATATATTTATACATGCCTTCTGTTTGTATTAGTATTTTTTAATGAAAGATGGTGAGAAATACTATTACAAAAAATCTGAAATACCGCTATTTTTACAGTAATTACCGTAATTTTTCCAGTAATAATCCCTGAATCACTCTAATTTAATAAATATTACAGCATAATATTTCACGGTAAAAATGGATTTTACGGTAAAATAGATTTTATGGATAATGCACGGTACTTTATACCGTAATTAGATCCTACATTTTTAACAGTGTAACCTGAACTGAATTTATTTAAAAAAAGATAAAATGTGTTAATATATATGATGTTACGTTAATCTAATAAATTTAAAACAATGAAGCTACTACAATTTAAAAACACTGAACCACATTTGCTTAAGTTTAATACATTGCGGAAAAAAAAAAGAAAAAAACGTTATCTAATTCAACGCCTTAATAAAGTCGCAGTAAATCTGCATCACGGTGTGCAAACCGATATGATGCATACGGATATTATGGTTCTAGGTAACAGCATTATGGTTTATATTTGAACATATTTTTCAGCACATGTATTATTATTTTCAATTTTTCAAGATTTAAATGTTATTGGAATTTAATAAAAATTTCTTTTAAGCTAAATTAGTAATTTCAACCTTACTGAAAGTTCAGATAATTTATAAACAACGCTTATACTAAAAATTTTTAATAATTGGTAAAAATGTTAAGCTATTTGTTTTATAACCTTCAATTTTTTTTTCTAAATTTTTTGATGGATTCATTTTTTAAACAGTTTAAAAATCTAATATTAAATAACAAACTGTATAAAGGTACAGTAAATTTTGAATTTCTTACGCATTTTTCTCAAAATATTTATGCGCGTCCTCTGCTTGCATAAGTATTTTTTAATGAAGACGGTGAGAAATACTACTTCAGTTTTCCTGAAATAAAGTTGAATTATCAGCAATACTTTATATTCCTTAAAATACAAGGAAGTCTGAGTAGCAAAAAAATTGGGTTCACATCAATGTAAATTTTTTTTCTTTCTTTTAGCTTATGAACTTTTTAGTTATTTTCTCCTCCATTTAAATTAATTAAAGCATTAAATAATTTTATCACACTATAATATAGTTTTTTTTCGTTTGCTTGTTTCTCTTTAATAGAAAATTAGTAAACTTGATATTTATTTTATTTTAAAATATGTCCCTGGAATTTTCAAACAATTACTGAAAGCTTTCATTCTTTGTTTCTTAGATAATGTAAATTATTATTGTATCATGAGAGAATACCAAGCTATCCCAAAGAAATTTATGAATATTTTAAAAAAGTTAGAGCAAAATATTTTTTTCTTTTAAGAATTTAAATAAAAAGTAGGAGAGCGTCAAATACTGAGACCAAATAGTATTTTTATTTCCTTCAAAATCAAACATGTGGACAAAGTAAATTATTGAACAAAGTAAAAATTCTTTGAAAAAGTTTTGACTGCATCCTAAAACATTTTCATTATTCTGAAGTTTCATACGTAAACATAAAATTCTTGAATTTACTTGCGATTTAATTGAATAATTAATAATTTGTTAAGAAAACTTTAACAGATAATTTAAGACAAAAATAATTTTGCTCTTAAACAGGATTTAAAAATCTTCGTTTTTAAGATTTATTCTCTTATGTTTGCATGCTTCACCACCATTTTGTACATTTATTTAAAATACTATGAGACAACTAAAATAATTCTGCCTGAATAATTTTTTTCTTTAGGAAGTGAAATGTCGGTTAACTTCAGTGACTTGTTATATTTCAAGAAAGAGAGTTTCTTAGAGTTTTTAAAATATTAGTAATTCTAAATTAATTAATATTAATTAATGTATACTACAATATTCCAGATACACATTTCTGAAATTAAAAAAAAAAATTCAAAAGGCAAAAGATTTTTTTGAATTTATTTTTTTAAACTTGTATTTAATAGAAACAATAAGTTAAATTTTTTAAATTTAGGAATTTATACATTTGTAGTATTTATTGTGAATGTCATTTTGAAAATACTTCATACTTAAAACAGAGCCGTCATGAATAAACAACTTGGAAATATTGGAACTTGGAAATAAAATTTCACATGCATCATAATGCATAGGAATATTTGCTTTTATTGGTAAAATGTGAAAGAAATTAATATTTTAATTATCAGGTGATACTATACAGCTGTATTGTTTTTACTCGAATGAAACCGGTTTGCATTTGTTTACGCTCCTGTATCAATTGGTTGACTTTGTAATGCAAAACGTTAAAAATAAAAAAAAATAGGAAGTATATAAGCATATAAAAAATCTCCCGAATAAAAACCAATTACATGTATGTTTAAATATAAAAGTATTGCATAGAAACTCGTACAAATCATGTAATAATTAAAAAACTACTGTGATTCTAATAATTTGATCTAAGTATTATAATACACTAATATAATGCTTGCTATAATAAATATTCTATATTTATACAATATATCGTCTAATTTATCCAATCGTCAAACTTATATTATATATCATCTAATTTAACCAATTGATACACTAACGTAAACAAGTGCAAACCGGTTTCAGTCTCATGAAACAATAAATCTGTATAGTATCACCTGGTAATTAAGATTTTACAAAGAATCTTGCAGTACGTCAAATAGTTTGGACTAAGACTGTATATCATAAGAAAATTGAGACCGTCATTGATTGCGTATTAAATAAATGAATATCTTAAAATAATTCTATGTCAAGAAAAAGAGCTAATAGAGTTGATGAGTCCTTAAAAAAGGACCTTAAAGGGATATAGAAATCTGCAAAAAATAGAAGGATTTGTTTAAATAAATATAATTAAATCGCAATTAAATGGAACAATAATAGGAAGACTTAAATAGTTTATTGTAAATTACTTACATTTGCAGTTGTAAAGCTAACTCTTATAAGAGATAAGGATTCTGTTCTTCAACAGGAGCAATGCTTCAATAATTTTGGCATTGATTTATTTTTCGGTGACAATCTGAAACTAAATCAAAAAGAAAAAGATAATAATAGAATAACTGCATAATTCTTCAAGACTTATCTTTTAAACAAAATATTTGCTTGTAGCAATTTTTTTTAACTCGTGAAGTTTGAAAAGGAATGACCAAAATAATGTTAATAAATCTTATTTCTTAGCTAGTATTGAAAGCTATATAAGATTTACAAGAGTATAATATCTTAAAAAATACAATTCGACTTTTTATTCATTCTTTTGCCTTTATTAATTCTTTTAAAAAAATAATATTGGCATTGTAACAATTCTGCATTGTTAGAAATTTCTCTGAAAAAGTGGTTAAATAAAAATTTATTGAATGGTTGTTTTACCATATTTAATCAAGCACTTAAATTACCATAAATAAAATGGTAATCAAACTCTTAAGTTTGAGAAAAACTGTTTTTTTAACTGCTTTCCTTTAATACGGTTGAACAACCAGAACTGTCAATCTCATGACCGGCAACACATGAAAAATTTCCAGTGTCCGACACTCTCCAATGCCCATCACCTTGCCAAAAGCCGAGTTAAGTAATAATCATTATTTTTTTACGTTTTTGAAAAATGTTGGTTGTAAATGATTAAAAAACCGCATAGTATTGTATTCATGGTTTTATAAACATACTTTTTGTTAACTGGTTTCAAAACCATAGAGGAAAAAAATATCTTTACCGTAAACTTTACGGTTAATAGGATGGGCAGTTATTTGACCATAATTTAAGAATTTTAACAGTGTACTTTATAGGAATAATGATTATCCAGTCGACCTGATAGTAACAATCAAAAGAAATGCAACGTTTGCTATCTGGGTATCATTTTATAAGTAAAGAATAGTGTATAAATTTGCGGTTATGTGATTGAGGTATATAAATTTGTGTCTTAAGAGTCAGAAGAGTGACATATTTTATTGTCATTAACTAAAAGGTATTACTATTTGAGTAATTCCAAAATTGGCTTTAAAAATTTAGAATTTCTGATAAATAAAAAATTGCTTTTATTAATTTAAATATTTAAAGCAAAATCGTAAATACTGTAATTAGTAAAAAACGAAAAAAGAAAAAGAATTTTTTTTAAAAAGAAAACGTAGAAAAAGACTTAAACTGTAAAAATTATATAATTTTAGAAGAAAAATAATTTATCTAAATTAATATCTACCTAATTATTGTTATTGTAACAAATGGAAAGTTTTTGAAATTGGCTTTAAGTATTGAATTACTATTATGCGCATAGACAAAAACAAAATGGAACAGAAGAACAACGGTACAGAAATCATATTTAGTTAATATTAAAATTACAACACAGAGCGAATAGGTCGCTAATTCCAGAAAGAAACAAACCAAGGAAAAGCGTTCACAGCCTTTCAAATTTCATTCATGTTTTTTTTCCTACAATTGGTGATATATGCAACTGGTTTACCATCGAATTTCAGCATTTCTTTAAATTGGAAATGCATTCAAAAATCAGTTATGTATTATTATATCTCGTTTTATAATAACTGAAAAGGTTATGTAGTGAATAAGCTACAATATTCCAACTACACATTTCTGAAATTAAAAAAAAAAATTTCTAAAGGCAAAGGATTTGTTTGAATTTATTTTTTTGAATTATTTTCAAGGAAAAGCGTTCACAGCCTTTCAAATTTCATTCATGTTTTTTTCCTACAATTGGTGATATCTGCAACTGGTTTACCATCGAATTTCAGCATTTCTTTAAATTGGAAATGCATTCAAAAATCAGTTATGTATTATTATATCTCGTTTTATAGTAACTGAAAAGGTTATGTAGTGAATAAGCTACAATATTCCAAATACACATTTCTGAAATTAAAAAAAAAATTTCAAAAGGTAAAAGATTTTTTAAATTTAGTTTTTTAAACTTGTATTTAATAGAAACAATAAGTTAAATTTTTAAATTTAGGAATTTATACATTTGCAGTATTTATTGTAAATGTCATTTTGAAAATACTTCATACTTAAAACAGAGCCGTCATGAATAAACAATTCATACCTAAAAAGTGACAAACAGAATTTCTATCATAAATTTATTTATCTTAGTTATATTGTGAACATGGATTAACATTATTTTGATGTTTACTTATTTATTTTTTGCTGTTATTTTGCAGTGAGATAGGAAATGTATAGTTATTTGGGAAAAAGAGCATGTAATAAAACTAATATTAACTATAAAAAATTTAAATGGAAGTATTTTTCAAAGATTAAATTTATAATCACTGAAATGTAAAATGTTTAATACATTTACTAAATTAATTATTTATTATTAATATTTATTTTGCAGTGACATGAGAAAAGCACAGTTATGTTGGTATTAAAATAAATAGTACAAATAGTTATTGTGACTATTTTTTTTTGTCGTTATCCCAATAATTGTGATAGTATGTTATTTCATAAAAACGAATGAATTGAAAATATTTAACTGTTAAATTGCTAATTTAACAGTTAAATATTTTCAATTCATTCCTCCCCTCTAAGAAAAAAAACGTTTGGTCGCAATTTTTCTCTTTAGAAAATTATGCATCAAAGTTACATTAGGGTAAATTCAAATTTTATTTTAAAATGTATAATTCTTAGAAACTACGTGACCCGACTGATAAAAGTCACTAAAAACTGACTCCCACCAAATTCAATATTTTCTGTATTCACATATAATTTCACGCTCTCCTCTTTTCTCCAAAAACGTATTCCGTCTCCCAACGCAATTTAAACTCAGACCCTCAAAAATTGAGGCGCATTTCCTTGATTAAGATGCACAACGAAAAGTAAAGTTGCAAAGTAGCAATTTTAGTAGCTCCTAACTTTAATATCCAACATCGTATATAGAATTGTAACTTAAAACCATCTTTCCGCCATGCATGGGTGGCAGAATTTCTACTTTGCATTACGAAACTTTTGGAAACGCTCAATAAGCATGATTTATTGCTATACACAAGAAGCTTCGTCAAAAGACATTTAAGTAAAGCAATCGATATTTTACATCTGTACCATGGAAAGCGAGAACGAGCATATTACCGTTGATTGAACCAATATTTTCTCTTTCTCATCAATAGTCATTCTCTCAACACATTTAACTTAACTAATGAATTTCATTAAGATTTTGCATTTATAAGGCATTCTATACTTTACTGATTTGCATGATTTTTGTCCCATTTGTTTCAATTTTTAAAAAAAAAATAAAGTCACTGGTTTAAATTCGTACATGATTGAAATGATGTTTCAATATTGTTTCTAATTACGATGTTAAACACAGCAACAGAATCTTCAATTTTTAGAAATATATTAAAATGATGTTTTTTATAAGACATGATGTTAAATCATATAAATCGAATCTTCAAATATTAGAAACATATTGTAATGATGCTTTTTATAAAACATGATATTTTTCACTTCAACCAAATCTTCAATTTTCAGAAATTTATTGAAAGGATGTTTTTATATAATTTTATAGTTTATTACTTCAAATCGAATTTTCAATTTTTAGAAATTTAGTGAAATGATATTTTTACATCATTTTAAAGTACGATGTTAATCACATCAACCGAATCTTCAATGTTCCGAAATTTATTGATCTGATGTTTTTATATAATTTTAAAGTGCGATGCTAAATCGCATCAACCTAAACTTCAATTCTTTGAAATTTATTGCATGATTAAAAAAATTCTCTCTGAAAAATATTAGTATTGAATTTTAAATTTATTAAAGCATAATTCATTCTATAAAACACGTTTTATCCTCTTTTTAACCCTATGATTAGTTTTTTTTTCTTTGCGTTTAGAATGATCTATGAAACAGTTTTCATATTTGAAGTTCTTACAATTTATATTCTAAAAAAAGTAATGCCTAATTCTGTTTTTAACATTATTGTACTGTATAGTCACCTCAATAGAAATTTTTAAAGGATCCCCAAATGGTTTATTATAAAAAGTGAATTTTTCTTATAGTTTATAGAGTTAATGAAATATACCACAAATATTGCTTTTAGATAGTAAATGAATCAAACATTAAATAATCATGCAATTTTGGTTCCTGTTGCATTCATATCAGTAAATAAGCTAATCAGTAAAATTTATTTATTTTTGCAGTGTAAATTTTCTAGATATTTTGCTACTAGTAAATGATAGATTTAATTGAATTAAAAGTTTTAGTTTCATATTATCAGACTACAACTATTATTTAAAAGATGTAACAAAAATATAACGTTTTTACATTTTCTCTTTTTTTCCTCTTCTGTTTTTTAATTAGTTTCTTACTTGGTTTGTGAATTATTTGTGTATTACAAAAATCACAAAGCAAAAAGTTTAAATGTTTCTATTAGCGAATTAATTAACTAATTTAATAAATAATTGAACATTATTATCATCACTAAAGTAGTTAAATTTTATTCGTTCAGAAAAATAAGTTGTAGTAAAATATTGAATTTAGCATTAAGTATCCCGGTTTCAGAGTCCTTAATTAGTATGTAAGCTTTTTATACTTACAGTGCAACCAAATCTGTTTTGATACTTTCTTATATTACTGTTCTAAAAGGAATTTCACATGCCTGAAGAAATGGTATATCCAAAACATGCGTATCCTTACCTAAAATGCATATTAAAACAGTTAATAGTAAATATGAAACTGAATTTTCACACACATATTCTAAATACAAGTGATAATATAGTTTTTTATTTACTTAAGTGCATTTTATTTGTTAATTTAAAAAAAATGTCTATTAAGCATTAAAACAATTTTTTTAAATCTGTTCATTTGAGCCCATTAACAATAGTTCTTTTCTCTTTTTAAGGTTATAAACAATGTTTGATATTTGTAATATTGTATGATATTATAAATTAGGTATCCATTTTCACACTTTATTTATTCTACGCAATTTGGAAACTACTTATTTCTACAGCTGTTATGATATTTTATTTTTGCAGGTTAATGTTTAAGATACAAGTCAATTTTATACATCACGAGAAAATGCTTGACAAAGAAATAATAGAATTTCAAAAATTTCAGATGTTTAAAATTTGATTTCTCAGGAACTATTCTGCCGATTTTACTCAAACTTTGAATTTTGCCACATAAAATTATATTTTGTAAAATTATGTAAAAACTTGTGTACCTACATTTCAAAATTTTTTCGACAATTATTAAATAAAATAATAAATACTTACTAAAAGTTATTTTTTACATTGATTTAGCATTTATGCATCGATGTATAAATGAATTTTATAATTGTGTGCAAAATAGTTAGTTTAATAACAGTTTAATTTGAATTCATGGGGTTTTCGAAATCAATTATATTAATTTTGGAGCTATTTCGACAAATTTTTGCTCAATTTTGAAAAGCCCTTTCTTACAGTTTGCAATTTTTTTTCAATTATAGCATGTTTATTATTACTTGTTGTTACCAAAATTTTATCTGCATCACTTTATGAAATCTCAAGAGATTTCTTTCAGTCTTGTCCATTAGCTCTTTCAAATCAAAAACTTCCAAACTAGAAGTTACCAAAAATACTGGATGTTTAATTAGAAAAAAAAAACTTTGTTATAAACTATTCTCTATCATTTTTCTTTCCATATTTTTAGTATAGAAGGGAAAATCTTGAAGACTGATTAGACAATTAATGTTAAAAGTAGTTACACAAGTATTTTAAAAATTAAATCAGAGAGAAGGTTAACTCTTTAAAAAACAGAATAATAAAGCAACCAACAATAGACACAAAAGTTTGTAATGAATAACAACGCATTGATTTTTATTCCACACCGCAGTATTTTCACTTCCTGAAATTTCTAAAGATTTTACGGTAAAAATATTGTTAAGATATAGTGGAAAGTTAGTTTTCATGAATTGCCTTTTAATTTCATTGCTAAATTTACTGACACTTTAATTGTTAGCTTTCAATAATATAAAGCTATAAAAATTTTGTTATTCAGAATAATGGTTATCTTAGCAATCTAATAAGCATTTGATATTACACGAACTACACCTTCTGTTTTAAACAAAAATAGTTGAAGTAAAGTAACATATATACTTTATAAAAAGTTTTTTAAAGCTCATGTTATTGTATCAAATGTTTTAACTTTCAAATTTTAAACTTTTATCACAAATTAAATCCTGTACAAATTTTGTATTCATTTAAATAAAACAATTTATAAAAACTTTGACCACGACTTTATGAATTATCTTAGCATTTTTGAAATAAATTGCTTTTCGCTAAATTGTATTAGGAAGAGAATCAATAATCCTGAGTTTAATAAAAAGAGTGATTTAAAAAAATTAGCTTCTTTTTTAATTAAACGATTTTTTTTCATTTTTGCATCTATTGTTTATTATTCCTCATTTTTGTCTCATTCATCGTTACTTAAAAAAATAAATATTCCTTTGTACATATTATAAAATATTCCTGTGTCCATAGTCTGGTATAACAGTACAAAGAAGAAATGATTTTTTCTTATCACGAAAAGAGAATTTCGTTTTCTTATTTCAAATAAAGAAATAATAAAAGAAGAACGACAGAGGTATATGTATTTTTATTCAATGAAAGTACATATTTTTTTGTTTTATTATTTTTTGCTAATGGTGTGCGAATTTCCTATTAAAGATAATGAACGAAACTGCTTATTTGAAAAATTGTATACAGAAATAGACACACAATAAGGAATTACAATAAATTACGCCAATCATATAAATTTCGAATTAAAATAAAAAGTATTCAGCTGACTTATATTAATCAGGCAATATTTATTTATTTCATTCAAATGTGATGTTCACAATGTCATAATATGTTTATTAGAAATCGAAACCAATCGAAAAGGAAAACTCGAAGTGACCGCCGAAATCTAATCGAATTGTTTCGCTACTCTTGACCGAAACTTGATGAGTGATAGTGGAGGTAACACATGATACTTTACGACAATACTTCGTTGTGAGAAATGCAGGAATCCGGATTCGAACTTTGGTCGGTAAGGAGTTGAGTCAGATATAACATTTAATTGTTAGATGATATATAAAGGATATATAGAGTTATAAAAATTTTACTAACAATTCTAAGCAAGAAATTACATATGACCGTAAAAATGATTCGTTTGTCAGATTTCCTTGTCAATTTCAGTTACTGATTGATGAAAATTTCATAAAGTTAAGAAAGCTTTGTTAAACAATTATGAATCAGTAATTAGATATGACCACGAAATACGATAGTTCATTTATACGATATGCAATGTTGAAAATGTTGTAAATAATTCTGAAACAAAAATTTAGTTTGAGTGTTAAATTATTTTAAGCTTAAGGGGAGTTACACCATTCTTTAAAATACCTATGTTTACGACATGAAAAGAAACTTAGAAACTAATTATGTTTGATGTATTGAATGTTTTTAAACATAATTATTATTGGAAAAATTCCTAGACTGGGAATAGCTTACACATTTCTTTTAACATAGTGTGTCAAAAATAGCGGAAGTGTTGAATGAAATGTCAGGAACCCTCTGTTTTCTTCACGTTCCACCTACGTTTGTTTTTATGTGGGAGCAACAATCACTCATCCTAAGAAACTCCTATATTTTGGGTAAATCAACGTAAGCAAAATCTTGAAAAGATCCAGTCACCTTCCAATACATATTTATTCAACATCTTAAATCTGCATTTTGAGACGCAAGTTATCTTAAATATTAGTTGTTAAGTGAAATCTTAAACCCTAACTGTTTTCTCTATACATCTTGTGATTATTTTTATAATAATTAAGAAAGCTCCAGCATTACATGTTTTATTAAACAAATTCATAGTTATGAAAGTATCTTGGTTAACACTCTTATGTCTTTGCACATTTTTACCTGCATTCTCTTCGGCGTCGTAAACTATTTAAATGATGTATCGGGGAGGTTTTAACTATTATCCTGTTAAATGATTTAAGTAAGAATAAAAACTAGATTAAAAAAAATTTGAAAATTCACAGGAAATCTAGTTTTTATTAAAAGGTATTACTAGATATATTGAGACATTCATTGTAATAAAAATAATGAAAACATTTTAATGTATTCCACAATATTTATTTCATACTTTAGAAATTACTGTATTATAAGAACTGTTTATTTTAAATTAGAAAAATAAATCTGCTGCATTTAGGAAATTAACTTTTAAAATTGAGTCACGTGATCCCGTTACTTGAAAAGTACCATAAATATTAAACGCGCTTTTAATTTTATTCAAGTGCTCGTTTGATGTATCCTTTACTTAATCGGTATTTTTATGCAAGTATATCTTTCGAACATTTAGAGAATACACAATAAAGGAATATAAAAATAAGTTGGTATAAAATAAAAATGAAATGAAAAGCAAAAATGTTCAACTCAAATATGTTCTAAATAAATAAAAATATATTCCGGTAAAAATTAATATCATTATTAGCTTGGTCGTCAGGCTTGTTGATCGAAATAGACTAAAAAAAATTTTAGATCGAAATAAACTAAAAAAAATTTTAATTCGCCAAGATTTAATTTCTCGAGTCGACTGCAATTTTAAATTTTCAAAAACATGTATTTAAAATGCTATTCGTTAATTGATTGATTTTTAAGTTAATATAGCCTGAGTTCGTGATTTTGCAATGGTAAAGAAATGTCTGTATATTATTTCAATTTTATTTGCTTTCCAATTGAAAATTTAGTATATGTTGTCATACGTCTGTTAACAAATTATAATTGTATGTGTGCATAATCTTTGATTTATAATATTGTATCTTTAATAATGGTGCATTATAAAATTAATAATTTCAATTCCTCCCCCGCCCCCCAGATTTTGAAATTATTCAAAAATTTGTGTTAAAAGTTTCCTTTTTAGTGTAGCTAGCTTAGTTATTTTTTTTAATATAATTGGATATTAATTTTAATTACAACCATATTATTTTTAATTAATAAATTTTTCTAACCTATTTGCAATATTGGAATTCAATACAGTTAATAAATGGTTACTTTGAAGATAATATTTTAAAATTCATTTCAAAACATAAGGATGTAGTTGTCTTAAAAAGTTTGAACAACTATTAATTTTATCCAAAATTTGTAAAATACTTTTTTTTTTTTTTGGAAAAAATTCTTCTCAATAGCTTTTGAAGAGAGTTTTATTTAAATTAACTATCTATGTTATGCATGACCATGAAATTTTGGACTTTAATAACCCAGTTACATATAGTAACGAACGAAAAAGATATATAAATGTAGATCAGAAGAAGTTTTTCATAACTAATCAGTAGTAATTTTTCATAATTTTTTAATCGGAGTAATTTCACTTAATTTTATTATTGATTTTTACCCTAATAGATCGAATAGGGTGATTATAGAATTAATTAGTAATAAAGTGCAAGCATTGTATTTCATTCTGGAACCTTTATCATTAAAAAATACTGAAACAAATAACACCAAATAGAGATGACATGGTGCAACAAATAAGATTTTTTTAAATCCAACCAATTATGACAAATAAGATTTTGTAATTAAAAAATAATGTTGTCAATTTTTTTTTCTTCAAAGAGTTATAAAAAATTATCAAATATAAAACATTTTTTTTTTACTTTTTTTGTTGTGATAAAATTTACTTTACTAATATTATTAAAATTTACTTAATTTATAATTTTCTTAAATTATAAATATCCAATGCCAATTTCAAATTATTTTTATCTGATATTTTAAAAGTAATTTGAAAATATAAATGTGATAATGAGAATATAATGTTGAAGACAATATTGACCTAGGATTTTTCAATAATAGATTTAAAAATTGCATTATTTCAAATTACACAATCCCAATAGATCGCTTTACTTTCAAAATTATTTTTATTGATGTAACTTTATTCTCCCTGTAATATGAAAAGAAAAAAAATAGGATTGAATTTGTTAAATTTAAAAAAGAAAACCGAAAAGCCAAACTGTATTTCAATTATTGTATTGTTTATTAGGCAAATTATTTTGTCATCCTATTAACTATCGTGAAATTTAATAGTATAAATTAATTTAATTGCATTTTCTTCTTTAAAAAAATCTTAACTCCGTTTTGCTTAAAATTCATAATAATTTGAATAGAAACCGTGTGTTTATTTAAATGCACTCAATTTGTAACAATCCGCTTGAAATAATGCCAAACATGTGTCTGTTCCATGAAAGGGAGTATCCATATCAGATATGAACACGCATTGAGATCATAAAAGCGTTTCTTTCACGGTCACGCATGGAGGAAGGAGAACCTATTGAAATGAATCTTTTTAATTTTCCTCGAGCCGATCGTAAAGTTCAAATAGAGTGCGCGCTTCCCCGTGGTCCTAAAAAAAGCTCTAGACCAGCTGCGTGATAAGAAAAAGAGCTTTTATATCCTCTCTAAACTTTCATACTGCAGCAGAATGTTTATATTTGCAGGCGCCAATGGATTGCGCAGGCGAGGACGTCAGACTTATACGCGTTACCAGACTCTGGAGTTGGAGAAAGAATTCCACACCAACCATTATTTAACCAGAAGGCGAAGAATCGAGATGGCCCATGCACTTTGCCTCACTGAACGACAGATCAAAATCTGGTTCCAAAACCGGCGCATGAAACTCAAGAAAGAAATTCAGGCTATCAAGGAACTGAACGAACAGGAACGACAAGCACAAGCTGCCAAACTGGCAGCCCACCAGAAATCTTCAACTTCAAGTGGAGGTAATAATGCCAACAACAATGATTCCACTGCATCAGCGACAAAAACGTAAGGTCGTTCCTCTTCTACTTATTTCGCATTGTTTTATTTTTTATTGTGAATCCTATTTCCCCACCCTATATTTTTTTCACCCTTTTTTTTTAGCATAAGTCGGTCATTGTCGTATATCTTCCGTTCTTTGTATTCAAGGACTTCCTTCCAATGCAACGTAGTTGGACAATGCAAATTATTACTTTCAGTCTAGTAATAGTAATTAGAATCTTATAAATGGATGTTTTTTTTTTTTACATATACCATTAGAATTACTTTATAATTACGAAGAAAATAAAAAAAAATTGACCTGCCGCATACAAATGTCTTTCGAAATCAAAGGTCGTTAAAAAGATTGCCAATATTTACCGCTAGCTTTTCAGTCTCCCCCTTTTTTTCAGTAAAGAATAACATAATTACATTACATTGTAAAAAATATCATTGCACCCAAAGAACTAATTATGTGTGATTTCACTATTCTCAATGATTCTATATTTTTTATTAAATATAATGTCATATTCCACTCATGTCTCATTTAATTTACTTTACTATTGTCGTGATGAGTCAATTTTTTTCCATGGAAGGTTTTTGAATAACTTATCGATTAACAAAATTTATTAGTTTTTAGTTGCCTATATTAATTTAAATGTTGCATTTAGTTTTGTTGAAATGGTGATCATACAAGATGTGTTAAAATTTTGTATACATCTTAGTCAATTGTTAAAAAATAGCATAATAATGATTATGATTTACTGTAATTTTTTATAATATATATGAGCTGCAAAGTTTAAAGATATTTTTCTTCCTTTTTTTCCTAATAAATATTTATATTTCACTTATTCATCAGCCAAACCTATTTATTAGGTATTTGATAACTTCCTCAGCAGTATGCAGAATAAAATTATTAATTCCACATTAGTTAGTTAGCATCCTTTTCATATTGATTGTTACTAATCATACTTTTCATCTTAATCATATTTATCGTTATTTTAAGGGAGACATTTATTGGAATAAATATAAATCTATACACTTTTTTAAATTTTCTTGTAATTTTATGATCATCTTCCAAAATATTAATACTTAATACCGTTCATAAAATAAAACAATTCTAAATTTATTCTTTTTCCTTTTTTGATCTAAATATATCCAATATTAAAGTTTATTTTGAAACTCAAAGCTTTAAGGCAGGTGTCTGAATGAAATGTTACATAACAGTGTTACTTTTAAATGACTGTAAAAGTTTTTTTAATTCCTAATATTTTGAACTTCATTTGATTATCTTAACTATCTTTTATTTGCGTTAATTAAAGTTATGTAAGCAAGTGCACTGTTTACAATTTTTATGAAGCAAAAGGATATCGTATAGCTTTAAATTATTTAAATAGTTGAATAAAACTTTTATATTTTGAAATGAACCAGAAAAAATAAAACTTTTACATTCATATAATAAATATAAACACGAAACACTATTTTTTTCTAAAAAAAATATATATATTATTCAAACCGATTCTTTTTAACTATTAATAGCATCAAAAATAAATTATGTTTCTCTCAATTGATTTATTTACTTAGCGTTTTCCTCATTTACTTCTGTCTAACTATTATGGATTAATTTTATTCATTAGAATATCATGAATGTAATATAAACACTATATTTTCTAAAAGAGAACTGAAGCAACATAAAACTTTTTTTTATGTAGAAAATTAATAAGTATCCATTTAATAAAAACAAATTTAATTGCCTATCATTCTGTGTAATCCCCCTTTTTTTTTATCTATTCATGGATAAATTTTGTTCCTTAGCTTATTATGAAAGATATATCATGTTACTGCAGTTACTACTAAATTCATAAATAGTTGGTTATAAAAACCTTTAGTATGAAATGATGATTTCAAAAAATAGCATGGTATGTGTTTTCAAAATAGGCAAAAATTATTTGCGTTTTCAAATTGGTTACTTTTTCTCATGAAAATAGAAATTTTTTTTTTTTTTCAAATGAAAAGTCATTTTGAACCTAAAGTATTTTAAACAACTACCTATACAGCAACTGATAATCAAAGATAATGTAATACACATAAGTCTTAGTAACTTGCATATTAGGATTTAAATAATTAAGCTATTAAATATCTGTTTAATAAGTAGTGTTAATTCCTTACTTAATTATTAATCATTACATTCATATATTTTTGATCCATACAACATTATATGTCTTAATATTTATTTAATTGCGTTTTTAAATATAACTGTAAAAATTGAAATGGCTTCGTAAACAGTTAAATACTTAATTAGTTTTTGAAATAGGAAAAGAAGGTCTTAAAAATTAGAACATTTTCAAATTAAAAATTCGTGTAGTAGCGAATTTACTTAAAAACAAATAGAATTTTATTTTAATAGTTTACAATTTCTGTTGATTAATTCTGTTAAATATTCAAAATGAATAACAAATTATATTTTTCTTCAATTCTTTTCAAATTGAAAATATTGGTGTTCCTGAGAATTAACTAGAGAGAATTATAATTTAACTTAAAAGTTTACTATCTCGAGTGAAATAATATTTTATTAAAAAAAAAAATTTATTATTAAAAGTTTTATAAAATGAATGAAGTATTGTAATTTTTTTTTTAAAAAAAATTAGAGACAATTATTATGGAAACAATTATTATTATTTAACTTTCATTTACCATTTTGAGTGAAACAACATTTTAAATAAATATTTGGTTGATTAAACTAAATATAACGCAAATTGAACTACATTTTGGAAGATAAAAGAGGCTGGTCTTTCTGAATCAATCCCCTTATCTATTAACCCAAGTAGACCTAAGCAAACCCAGTAGACCTTAGTTCACCACCCCTGGAGGATGAACATAATATTTGCATATCATTACCTATGCTTTGAATTGTTACCTTTCTGGGTCTAGTGGGAGTGTCTAGTGTGATAGATCGAATGGAAGCGGTAGTGTAAAAAGTTTTCTTTTTCGAAAAAATGTTTCTTCCAATTCAACATTTTCTCTTCTTCTAACTTAATCTTATCAGTCATTAATTTTGTTAAGAAGAATTCAAGAAACCAGGGTAAGTTATTTCAAATTAACTATTTTTTAAAAAAAATATTGTAACTTTAAATTTTTACGCGACTGATTGAAGTTGAAATCATAATAATAATAAAACTTTTTTTTTCTTAAATTTAAGCTACTATTCGCAACTATGTCCATAATAAAGTTTTTAAATTAAAAACCAATGTTTTTATACATTCGATGTTGCAAGAGTTATTGTTTTTTTCATAAGTAATAAAAGGGGAAAACTAACAATTAATTAAAGTAAAATAATATTGTAGATGAATAAGTAAATAAGATTGAGAAACAAAATAATCAAAAACAGACATTTCTATCTATTGTCTATACCACATCCATATGAAGAGTTGTCAGCTGGAAAAAATGCTGTGTTTACTAATGGCTGCTCTTAACTTTCTTGTATTCAATGTGTATATCTAAAAAATAAGAGTAAATAATTAGCACTACTTACTAATTAAAATTTTAATTCTAAGTTCCATTCATAGAGAGTAAATTTTATCGCAAATATAATTATTTTGGTTATACAAAATGAGAGTATATTTGCATTAATTTGAGTAAATTAACTTCTAAAACATTTTCTTTATTTAACCTATAAACTAAAAGCTCAATATTTATTGTAATGTTTTGAAACAATTCCAAAAAAGCATTCTATTCCTTTTCTATTACTTATAATTATTTTTTAAAACCTATAATTACAATAACTTTATTTATTAATATTGTTTTAATATAATACTAAAAATAATGTTATAAATACTAAATAATATTAATATTGATAACTGAAAATATTTAGTATTTATAACTTTAAATGAAATAGTCATTTATTATTTTCATTTCATTTTTTTAATTAAGCATATTTTCTTTGCTATTAAGCATATTTTATTTATGATATGTATTTTTTTAATATATCATTTAATCTATTGTGATTTAAAATAACTGTACTTATTTATTAATTTTTTTAAAATTTCCGGATCGAATTCTTCTTTTTTTTGTAAATAAATCTATAATATTTATCAAATTGCATTTTTCAAATAAATCGAATTCTTAATTTACAGATGTCTTTCAACAAAATTTGTTATACTTTGATATTGAAATCACACATTTTATTTACAAAAAATTATTTATAAAATAATAATTTTTCAAATATTTCGAATTCTTAATTTACAGATGTCTTTCAACAAAATTTGTTATACTTTGACATTGAAATCACACATTTTATTTACAAAAAATTAGTTAGTTAACAAAAAATTTAAAATATATTTATATAGGTTTATTTAAACATTTAACGCTATATTTGCATAAAGTTTCCAAATATTTTTAAACTTATTGATTTCTAGCTTATATAGTATTAAAATGCAATCAAAATAAAAAAATATATGTTTGCAAGTATACATAATTTGCATTTTCCAACCACGGAAAAGAACACGATATACAAATTTTACGCATTTACAACTGTAAATTGCAGTGATGATTCATAATATACGTAAATGTGCCAATGTGAAAACAAAAGTGAAAAGACGGGCACATGTGCATGCTTTTTGCTAAAACTCTATTCTCTAAAATGTGTACGCCATTCATCATATTTGAGACTTATGAAACAGACTGGCAAAAAATAGTAATTAGTATTATTTACAACTTAGAAGTGCAACTGCATTTGTGTCATTTGCCCGAAGCAGATTCTGCTAAAATGAACAATGGTATTTTTCATCTACAAAAGTCTAACAGAGATTGCTGAAAAATACCTACTCTGTAAAAAGTCTACAAACTAACTGTTCACATTCTTGTTCTGAGCCCATCTACTTCCCTTAAATCTTGTAGTTAGGAAAAAAAAGCTTTGGTACGATGGGGTTCTTGTGTCTTGTTCCGTGAAGTTTCTCATTTCTTGTGCTCAAGAATATACTGTAAAACATCCTCTGTACAGAAGATACTTTTACTTCTTTATAGTTAACTCGGCGGTCATTTTCTTTGCTTTACTTTTTTTTTATCCAAAAATACTTTTTTAATTTTTTTTTTCGTTTCCTGAAATCCATACATATGGTAAAAAGTAGTAATGTTTTTTTTTACAGTATTCAATTTTTATTTTGTAAATGTTAATCACTAACGTTATACAACGTAACTAACGTTAACTAGAACTAATATAAATGTTAAGATCGATAAAAAAAATAAAGTGATTTTATACTGCAATCTTCTTCAAAACACTTTTGATAACATTTTGATAAATTATGCGATTAGAATTTGTAAATTTTGTTAACCAGGAAATCACCTTTTAGTTATACTTACTGGTGGTTTTTAAACTTTTTTATACTCCCTTTCGACTATTTTTCAAAATCATTACGAAAAATACTTTTGCTATTTCTATACATGTTATTTTTATATAAATAGAAAATTATTATATATAAAAATTACATCTTTAATATTTTGTAATAATTATCAAAAAATAAACACATATATGCTTGTAAGAGTTGGAAATAACTCAGTTTTTAAAATTTTATAAAGCAATATATAAAAAAAATGTTTTTTTAAAAGCATTTTAAATGCAGGTCTTTATATAATTAAATATGTTTTTTAAATTTTATTTTACAATATTAAAAGTGTTTTGAAAAATAAAACGTGCATGGACTATATTATAATTCTTATCAGTTTTCGTTCCTATTTATAAATATATTTATTCTTGTATTAAAATAGTAAAATTTTTCTACAATTTTCTGTCTTTTGAAGATTTAAGGAAGCATTATTCAATCAAAATGTAAATGATGAGAACAAGCTTTGGAATATCCTGGAAAAATTGCAAAAATCACTCTTGACATTTAAAACTTAAAAGTTAACACAAAAACAAAAAAAGTTAAAACAAAAAAAGTTAAGCACAATAACATTTTTTTCGCATATTTGATAATTTTTATAAATTATTATTAAACTGTATAAAATATTGCACAATAGGATAAGTAAAAAAGTTATTTGCATTGAAATAATTATTAAAAAAATAATGACATTAAAAAAGGATTTTTAAAAAATATACTTAATGTTTTTTCTGAAACTGTATTTATTTATTAAGTGGAAGTAAACATTTAAAAGTAGGTCAAGTATTGTTGCTATTATAATTTTTCTATTTATTTATTTTTACTTTGCTTTTTTTTCCCCCAACTGCAATGACTGTCGAGTTAACACTTTTTAAAGTGTTTCGCATAAAAAAAAATTTTGTAAAAATAAAAATTTACTGAAATTTAAACGCATAAATAACGCAAATACTTCAGTATTTTTATGAATTAAAAATTTTAATGACATCTCCCTATTAAAAAACTTTAAGAACTAATTAATATGATTTTTATGTTTACTTCAATATAATTTTATTATTTTATGCGAAACACATGTTGTAGCCTTCGATAAGTCATGTTAGATTTTGTAGCATATTTTAGTGCATTCGTACAATGGAATGAAAATATTTACCTCAGAGAGGCGCTTTAACTTAATTGCAAACCAGGCACATGTAAGCTAAGAAAGAAGCTTTAAAATTTAATAGTTAATTAAATTATAAAACTAAGAAAAATGCTTATTTTGAAGCGCATATTATCATGAAATCATATTTTCTATTTCCTCTTTACAAGAATTCTATGTTTATAGTCATTATAATAAAAATAAATTTTTGTGAACTTGAAATATCAACTGCATTTTAGAAAATAACTGGCCAAAAATAAAAATTTAATAAAAAGTATTTAAAAAACCAATAGCGAAATATTTGTCTTTGGTTTAATTATTATTATTTATATTGTTTACCTTCACTTCGAAAAAATCATAATTTTTTAATAATTATCACACTGTTTGAACTAGGTATAATTTTAAATGATTCAAAAATTAGCATAAAAATGTTTTATTATGACATGTGCTTTTAATTATTTTGCCTTATGATCGTCATTATTTTTTATGTAAAACTTCAATCTCTTCCTGATTTTAACCACAAGAGTTTTCTATCAAAATAATAATAAATATTTATGAAGAAAACATGCTTCCCATGTGATTTCCTGGTTTGCTAATATTTATGAATTCGTATAAAAAAAAACATGTGAATTCATCAGTCATTGAACAAAACATCATTATTTGTATGTAAAATTATTATTATATCGATCTCACAAGTAGCCGTAACGGTGAAAAAGTATACGTAATTTCATTGTTTTTATTGTTTGTTTCAATTGTATACAGACTGTTGTTTTTAAACTGTGTTGTCTGCATTAAAATATTAACAGTGCCATTCAAAGTTGCCAACGAGGTAAGACATATATATATATGAATATATATAGAAATATATTATTTTTAATTGTGTGCGTTTGTTCACATTTATGTGCGTAAGTTACAGGTTTGTAAAATTTAGTATCACTTTTTTTTCTGAAATGTTGAAGTTTAGTGGTTTATTCCTTTCTGTTGAAATTATATATAGGATAAAACTTGTTTAACTTTTTTGTAAAAATGAATTTTGCTGTTTGAAGATTTTTAAACAGGCAAGTGCAATTTTGTTACTCTTTAAAATGAGAAAACATTCGTTGATATTGGTTTATTATTGAATTATTTTAATAAGTTTTTGCAGTTCTTTACTAATGGATGAGGACTTCATGTATTTTTTAAACTCATAATCTATTCCTTTTTTTATATTCAGTTTAAGAAATGAATATTTTGCAATTATTTCTTACGTTGCACTATATCGTACTGAGACGTATGAAACATTTTATAAATTTTTCTGGCAATAAAACACACATAACAAATTTATACCAAGTTCCTAGGATTGTACTAGTCGTAAAACAAAACAGTGAAACTAGACACAAGATATGCTATTTATTGTTTATCAGTTTTTATTTAGCTTATTAGTTAATTGTTAGCCAGCTTATTAAAAAATTGATTACCATGTTTATCATTTGTGGTAATTTATTATTATTTACTAATTTATTTTTAAATTATTAAAGTTCATGCCAGTATGGCGATATGTCAACAACCGTCACTAAATCTACATTACAAACGTCGGTAAAATCATACGCATGGGCGACAAAATTTGTTGACATGAAGTATGTTTGAAATGTACATGATAGTAACGAAAAAAAGCTTTTTTGCATCAAATTCCATGAATTTCTTAATAAAATTGTTGTACTGATTTTATTGTTCTACGCGTGGAATGGAATTTAGGTGCATGGTATTCAAACAGAATAACTGAAAACGTCTGATGCAAGAAGTTTTAAATTTAAATGTTGAAATTTTAAATTTACATGTGCTGTGATTTTCATTTACTTACTAACAATAAAATTTTTCATCAATAAAGTAGTATTTTTCGCTCTATTAAAATTGATTTTATTTAAAATTTTATAATTTTTAGAAAGTTCATTTTTAATATGATATTTTGCTAGTTCTTACATTCTCTCTTTTTTTCTATATTAT